TAAAAATCCTCAATAAATAGATGTAACAAATAAAACTTACAATAAACACATAAAAGAAAGTCGTAGCTAATTAAGTTCGTAAATTTGTCAACAAAAATATGGGCGATTATATATTTAAATGAAGAAGATGACAAAAATAATGACACCCATAGCAATAAAAGCTTAAAATATAGAAAAAAAGAGCTATGAAAAAAATAACAATCATCCGATTAAGCCCATAATTGGTGAGCAGCTAAAAAACTGGTAGTCGATCAGCGGCGATGTTGCTCATAAAACTGGTTAAAATTTCGTCACACGCGCTAAAGAAGATATCGCGCATTTGACGCAAGCACCCCCCAAAAAGTCAATCGAACCTAGAAATAGCCATACAAATTTATAGCCGAACATCTGCAGGCATTGTTGCTGACCGGCGCTTTGTGAGCCAATTTGTCATTTAGCTACTTAAGCGGCTTAAAACATACATACGCTTACATATATAGTAGGCTAAATAACCCACGCTTTAGCGGTCAAAACCGGCGACTAATAACTCAAATAAAAACGGCTAATATTTTTGGTAAATAGTATTAATGAAATTGCCCATAAAATTTGTGCCTCTAACAAAGTAGTAGACAGCTAACAGCTTTATTCGCAAAAATAAGTATGGATGTGAGTATATATGTATGTATACAACTATATATAAATGCATATTGCAATTGTTGTTTTTGCTGGTTTGCTTGCAGCAAATTTTGAGGTTTTATAGCCACTGCTATCGCTACTGCCGGCAAATGTGCCGTTGATGCGCTCCAAACGGCTACTCAAGTCAGCCCATCGCGGCATTGAAGCTGCAGGCGCTATGAGGCAACTACATATAAATCTATGTACGTATGTATGTACATTTGCATTACATATTTGTGGCTTGATGATTATGACGAGCCTCCACTGTGACTGACGCAAAGACAACATGCCACTTTATTAGCGGCAAAGCTTTTGTTTCCATGGCTTAGCGGCCTGTCCAACTGGGCTGGTAACTCGATGCTATTACTTTTTTGTTTGCTTTCGTAGCTGCCAATTTGCGTGCCATTGTATTCTGCTTTTCAAGCAATCCACCTGTGATTGGGCAGATCAGAGTGCAAGAAGTAGTTGTAGCTGACATATGCAGCAACACACAAACATGTGCAAGTACATAAAGCCATGTGCGTCCGTATGTACATACATACATGTATGCAGGTGCAAAAGAATTATTTGTAAAAATATTTTCAATTTTTGCCTTAGGATCTTCGCTCCATCCATGCATATATGTACATTATTCTGTACATGTGCAAAATCAGTTCTATGACATATGTATCTACATATGTATGTACGTATGTATCTATGTACATATGTACGCCTTGACATACAACACTTGTTTTACACATTCAACAATGTTGCTCACAGTTGTTATATCGCACCTTCCAAATATCGTGCCTGTTTCACCTAAAGTGATTTCAACAATTCCTAACAATATTATTTCATACATACAAACATTTAAGTGAACTTAATTTGTTAACTTCATTATGCGGTTCGTTTGCTACAACATGTTTGCCGATGCTGATGCTGCCGGTTTGCTGTCAATGTTCGCCCTTATAAGTTATTGGTTGAAAGGAGTTCGATAGCAACATGCTGCCAGTGGTTGTGTGGCTAAAGGATGCTAAAGGCTGTAGAACAAAAACAAGGATAAGGCAAAGTCATTTTTTATCCATTCACGAATTTCATGTTCAGATTTTAATGTAAATTCCCAAAAATTTTCGAAAAAGACCGGAAAGTTCAGAAAAGATTATTTACCATGGAGGAAGAAATAATACACTGTCAGCTAAAAAAAAAATATTGCAAATCTTGAAACTTGCACATTTTAATTAAAATTCAGTGGGATATAAAACCGCATGCCTAAAATTTCTGAATAAAAAGTTTGAAATTTTTGGGGGATTTTGGTAAAATTTGCTGAGTTTTTTAAATTTTTGTACAAACTTTTAAATATGTATTTCTATGATGCTTGTTATATAATCCTGTAGACTTTTATAAAAAAAAGTAAGTGCGCCTGGGCCACACTGGAGAAGTGAAACTTACGTTACATATTTATTTTGCCCATAACCAATATACATACATACTTACATTTGCTTTTGCTTAGCGTTATATTTTTTGTCTTTTTCTATCTGGATCCCTACCTCTGCCCCTGTTCCTTCTAATTACATTTACGTATGTTATTTTGTTTTCCTTTATCTCCATTTTTATCTTTATATCCTATCGATAACAAAATCGATAGTAACAGTCAACAAAATATCGATAACAAAAGCAATAGAAATATCGATGACAAATTCGTTTAGAAAATCGATCAAAATATCGACAACAAAATCAATAAAAATATCGATAACAAAGTCGATAAAAATATCGATAACAAAAATCGCTTAGAAAATCGATAAACATATGGGCACAAAAAAAAATATTGAAAACAAAATCGATAACAAAATTGGTTACAAAAACGATAAATAAAATCTATAAATAATTGATAACAAATTCAATAAAAAAATCGATAACAAATTCGATAAAAATATCGATAACAAAATCTACAGCAATATCGATAACAAAACCAATAACAATATTGGTAAAAAGTATCGATAACAAAATTGTTAAAAATTTCGAGTACAAATTAGTTTAAAATATCGATTACAAAATCCGTAACAGAATCGATAAAGGTATCGATAAAAATATCGATAAAAAAATCGAAAAATATCGATTATTATATCCATAGGTTCCAAAGATATCGATAGCGAAATCGATAGCAATATCGATAAAAATATCGATTATTATATCGATAAGTCCAGAGAATCCCGAAAATCTCCAAAATCCCAAAATAGTTCACAGATTGAGTCCCTGAGTCTCCATCTATATCCTTTTCTCTATAATTACCTTTATTTTAATCTTTCTTCCTCTATCTTCAAATCGATAACAAAATGGATAAAAATATCGATAACAAAACCGATAAAAATATCGATTATTATATCGATAAGTCCAGAGAATCCCGAAAATCTCTAAAATCCCAAAATAGTCCACCGATTGAGGCTCTGTGTCTCCATCTATATCCTTTTCTCTATAATTACCTTTATTTTAATCTTTCTTTCTCTATCTTCAACTCTTTTTTTATCGGTATAGTCATCTTCATCTTCGTCTTTTTCTTAATATTTATCTTTGTTTTTACGTTTGGGTTTACACTTTTCTTCATCTACATATTCCCCTTCACTTAAGTTTGTTTTATTTATTTTTTTTAATTTTTGCCTTTGCCTTTATCCTTTTCTTTCTACGTACGTAGTCACCTTTACTTCCATTCTTGTATTGGTCTCTTGCTAAGTGTTGTTCTTTAACATTTTATTAGCAAGTTTTTGTTAAATTCATACCATGTGCATACACTCAAGAAGCACTTGTTTCAGCCCCAACCATTTCCGTTGCACCATTTCCGTGTGCAATTTCCGTTGTAAAATAAAATAATCTCCCAACCAACCAACCGCCGCTAAAAAGTTTCACTTCAAAAAAAAAAATACTTTCTATTATTTCTTCCATCGCTGTTTATATAAAATGTGAAAGCTTCCAAAAAGCATTCACCTTCAGCACTTCAGTTTCTTTCCCTCTCCATTTTTCATGCATTTGTAAAATAGCGTCAGGAGAATATCTCAGGGAGGCAAGTCTAAAGACAGAAACGATCATGAATAAGACTTATATTGCTGTACTTTTCAGGATCTTGCTCTTAAACCCAGCAAAATAATCCTAATCTTGCTTACATGGAAAAGAAAGTTGGAAGGTCTCAGCCATCCGTGCTCAAAAGCGTAAGACATCTAGAGGTAACCCTAGATAGGGCGTTGAATATGACTTACGACGAGCTGAAGGTAAATTGAGTGCAAACAGCTTTCAGCTAGTGTGGGGTAATATTTAGTAAGGATTTTCTGATTCAGCTATCGTATTTTGGATATATTTATATAGCTTTACCTAGATTCTTTTGTAGGCTAAATAAAATAAAAGCCGCTTATTACTTAATTTTAAGGTACGGAGCTACATGGCGTACCAAAATTTCAACCAATTAAGTACACGAAAATAATTATGGATTAGGCCACTTTTGCTCTTTTGGCATCATATGCAATATGGGCGCCATAAGTATAATGAAGCTGGCTTATGAATTGTCGAACTGCGAGAGTTTCAGACCCGTTTAGGATTGATTATGAAACACAATCCACAGGGAAGACATAAATGGCCATTATGACAACGATTTTCATGTCTTTTGTCGTCTATACAATACACGGTTCTGCTAGATTTGCTAGTATCAAGTATTTAAATATTTTTTCTATTTGTCATGAATTTCTGAACATTCTCAGAATTAGCGATCTGAATCCATTCTTATTTCACAATTTACTAAGAAGTGTAATCACACGACTTTAATTGCAATTGTTTTCGGTATAATTCCATTTTTTACATGCCCAAAACTCCACCGCGCATTTATTGAAATATTTCCGATTTTCTGCATGAAAGTGACGAGGCTATTTAACCACTTACTCATCATCAATCACACATCAATTACACGGCATCAACGCTAACGTCATCATCATAATTGCCCCTCACGATTTTCAAAATTTTCTATAGCCAATTAGAAGCCATTCAAAAATTCCATACGATCTCACGCGCCAGGCGGATGCAGTTACGATATCCGATCAAACGCAACACGCAATGGCAATATTCTCATAGCCACGCATACATATTTACATACATGCACACCTAGATCACAGGTGAGTTCGCATCGTGCTGTGCGCAAGCATGACTCGAACTTGAACTCTAAGCGCGAGTTTGAGCCAGAGTTTGTTGCGCTCAAACGCACACACACACACACCCACTTACCCATCTATGCGAACCTACTAACCAATGGATCAGGCTACAGAAAGTACGTATTTGCTTGCTGACCAAAAGATCCGAATCCCAGTTGGCTGGCAGTTCTCGTACAACATTCGAACTGTTTAGAAGTGTTTTGGCGGTTTAGCGGCGTCTCGAATGAAAATGCGAAGTAGACGCGTATAGACACGTACGTCTAAGGTGGCTGGTGGCTAATTGCAAGTGTGTGCATCTAAATAATTAACGTAATTAACTTCATTATGAGCTACAGTGGCAATTGATTGTTAATTTTTATTAGTGATCAATTCTTTTTTTAATGATTATTTGGCAAATTGAGTGTGTTTGGCATCCCGCTGATGTGGTGGCCTAAAAAAGTGGCTTAATGGCGTGTGAGATGGCATGACAACTTTGTCGCCATGAGATGGGTAGCCGTTGATAGGTGATCGGTGATCGGTGATCGGTGGTCGCTGGTGCTGCTGATCCTGCGCGACTCAAGCTGTGTTGATTTTATTGTAGTGGAGCTAACACTATAGTTGGCCTGCGGATTTTGGACACTTAAAGCGGCAGCCACAAAGAACAAAAATGACAGCGTAATCACTTTTGGGCGATTAAACGCTAAGCGGTCGATTGTAGTAGCTTTACGAATGAAATAAAACAAATAGTTTTTGTTGGTTGCCGAAATGCCGTGGCCGTGGCAGTGGCACTTTAAGAATGTGATTGGATAATTTATCTCTGAGCTAAATTAGCATATTTTGGTTGGTAAGCTGTTTTCACCTGCTGTGCATTTGATGGTTATTGCATTGCTGCTCGCGCGGTTGCTGCGGCTATACGAAGGACGGGAAACAAACACGCCATCGGACCAATTTGAAATAAGAAAAAATAAAATAACTGAAAACAGCCCAACGGTTTAAGCGCGGAGCACGAATAAAATGAGAAATGAGTGAAGAAGATATAATAAAAATAAATAAATTAAATAAATCAACGCATTAAAACGAGATGTATGCGCTGAATTGATGACTCCGACTACTGAGCTTAGAAGCGTAGACGGGTGTTAAGTCAACTGACTGCTGACTGGTGGTCAGCAATAGACGAACTGAACTGGTTGCCGAGTTGATGTGACGTGCGGCAACACAACAACTTTATTTATTCATTTTTTTACTGCCCCTGCGAAGATGCGATTTTAGAGAATCGAAATCAAATTAGACATAAAACGCAAATAAAGAGCCATAATAAATGCAAAATCAGCGGCTAAGAGCGCGCTTGTCTGCTGACTGCGTTGAAGATGAATAGCCGTGAATGTGGTTTCCGACACTAAACAAGGGAGTGGGAAAAAGAAGTTTAGCACTTCATATGAGAAAATGAATATGTATGTACATATATATTAGGGTGGCCCTTAAAGTATCAACTTACAAATTTTGTATTGGGAACCTCCTAAAATAAAGACATCCACGAAAATTTCAAAAGTAAAAAAAAAATATTTTTTTTATTTAATCCGCAAGAGTGTGGCAAAATTTATTATTATTATTATTATTATTATTTATTTGCAATTAGCAAGTTTGCCATTTTGATTCCACAACTCGTGCAACCCACAGCCATTTGGCGGCTTTAATAAGTTTCAGTGCGTCATATTGAGAAATAGGCAGCTGCATTCTGAAATATTCTGCAGGAATAGTTTGCCGAGTATCTTTAGCCTCATCCTTGCCAGGGCTGGACACTCGCACAGCAAGAGTACGAGTGTCTCTTTTGAGCGCGGGACATCACAACTGCGGCAGAACATATTGAAGGACAGTACTATCCTTTCCACATGTACCCCAACGGGCCAGTGCCTTGTGCACACGGCAGTAAATTTGTAGGCATCTAGAACTACCGTAATTAGTGTAATTTCATATTGATCAGAAATATAGGCCAGTTCTCTTCTACATTCATCCACTAGTTGAGATCTGATCTAGTCTAATCTGAGTTGGCTATCCGAGAGGATGTTAACCCGCGTACTCGCCGGTACTACGTTCTCTTTGATGTACCTTACTGCATCCTTAGTAGCAAACGTTGCAGCCTGGAAAATGCTTGCATAGTGCGATAGGCGGAAGGAAAACTTTAGGTTACGTTGCTCAATGAACACCCTTGCATCCACTCCGCATTCCATCTTTGACCCATCCGTAAATACAGTTAAGCCCCGTCCAGAACCCGACCTATTCCTGATTGTAGTCACTGCGGCATGGGAATTTCGTGCGGGGTTTATGGTGAATCCAGGCTTTTGACAGGATATAGTCAGTGGGCAGCGCTTTAATTTCAGACGGTATTGCATCCTTCGGACAGGATCTCATTACACCTGTTACGCTAGCGACTGCCAACCTTTGAACTCCGCCTAGCTTTTTAACTACGTAATCCTTAGTAAGGGCTGGCCACCAAATCAGCGCCCCTAAGAGATTATGGGTCGGACTAAAGCTTTGTACATCCAGTACACAATTCTTGGTTTTTTATTTAAATTTTGAAATTTTCGTGAATATCGTTGTTTTTTTAATATTGATATTTTAGGGACCACCTTAGTATATATAGCACAAACCTAAATGCTGCTCTGCATGTGCTAGATGTGCTAAACATCACTCAGTGAGCTGCTGTAAAATAGACCAAGTGATTTATTTATGCAAATCCTTCGCGCATAAAAGACGAAACCTAAAGCTCAGCGGGTTGTTGGCTTATGTAGTGTGTGCCAAGAGCAAATCACATTTGTATGCAGCTTCATACACTCAAACATACTTGTCTAGCCAGAATTCACTTGTACGCTTGTCTACTTCAGCCCGTCTTAAGTAGTTAGCGTAATGACTTAATAACTATATGCATAGTTGGCCCCATTCAAATCGGCATTAATACAGACATAAATGTATGTGTATTCCTTGCGGCCAGTTTGTGGCATGCCGCATGATTGGTCGACCGCTGTTGGCCAGCCAGTACAAGCGAGTTATGCACCCGCCGGTGTGGGCTTCTCCTTAATTAACGTGTGAATTTGTAACAACATTTGCATAACGATCTTAGCGCAGTGTGGCGTTGATTTGACTACAAGAAAAAAAGATAGTAACAAATAGATAATAAAACAATTGGCTAGGTAAAAAGAATAAAATAAAATAAAATAAAATAAAATAAAATAAAATAAATAAAATAAAATAAAATAAAATAAAATAAGATAAAATAAAATAAAATAAAATAAAATAAAATAAGATAAAATAAAATAAAATAAAATAAAATAAAATAAGATAAAATAAAATAAAATAAAATAAAATAAAATAAGATAAAATAAAATAAAATAAAATAAAATAAAATAAGATAAAATAAAATAAAATAAAATAAAATAAAATAAGATAAAATAAAATAAAATAAAATAAAATAAAATAAGATAAAATAAAATAAAATAAAATAAAATAAAATAAGATAAAATAAAATAAAATAAAATAAAATAAAATAAGATAAAATAAAATAAAATAAAATAAAATAAAATAAGATAAAATAAAATAAAATAAAATAAAATAAAATAAGATAAAATAAAATAAAATAAAATAAAATAAAATAAGATAAAATAAAATAAAATAAAATAAAATAAAATAAGATAAAATAAAATAAAATAAAATAAAATAAAATAAGATAAAATAAAATAAAATAAAATAAAATAAAATAAGATAAAATAAAATAAAATAAAATAAAATAAAATAAGATAAAATAAAATAAAATAAAATAAAATAAAATAAGATAAAATAAAATAAAATAAAATAAAATAAAATAAGATAAAATAAAATAAAATAAAATAAAATAAAATAAAATAAGATAAAATAATAGAAATTATAGGAGGGTAATGCTGCGGTAAAATAAAATGAAGTTTAATCAAATTAAAAACAAAATAGGATAAAATTATATTATATTAAACTAATTTAAATTAAATGGAAAGAAAATGTACATATAATTTAACCAAATAAATAGAAATTTTATGGGGATAATGTTGCGATAACTACAGGGTATAATAGTGTTTATTATATCTGAGGAAATGGTTGCATGTGCCTGGTTCTTAGTTTTCTTAGCATTGTAGCCATCTAAACGCTTCGGGCCGAGCCGTGAAGTAGAAAACCTTCTTGAGTACTGCTTTGCCGCGCAGTCGTTATGCCCGAACGAAACTGTGTTAAATGAAAAGTGGAATGTCCATGTGACCTACGCAGCTATTTTTCTACTTGGAGAATGAGCGCGAGAGTTTCTACTCTTATCAGTCCGGCGATACGCTTCACTTAAGCTATTCAGAGTGGTTAATTTCTTTGCGTAACTTTCTACCTTCGTTGTCTCTGCCCAAATCAGAGCAGCATAAAATAAAACTGAGCTGAACAACCTACTGTAAAGGATTCTTCTGCAATGTTTAGCACCACCATTAATAGGCATAGTTTTAAATAGATATGCTTGAACATACGAGGCTTTTTTGGAAGCATACTCGAGGAGGGTCATAAAATTTAGTTGACCATCAATCATAACACCCAGATTCAATTACGGACTTGGATGTCATGGATTCAACGCCAACACAAAACCTCATTTTTTCTACTGCTTTCCTGCTGCTTATTCGAACTGCCCCTGTTTTGTCTCTGCAAGCGGAGGCATATCTCTACGCGGGATGCCGTCAAAAATTAGATTCCAAAGAAGCGATCATAGAATAGATCCCTGAGCACCCCCGCCGACACGACGGATTCTTTAGAGCCCCTATCACTCCAGTACCTTAACTTGTGGTATGTTATATACATAACTCTTAATAACACTGGTTTACAGCAAAAATGTTCAGTGGCATCACTATGTAATCACTATGTAGAATCGCTCGTTAATTCCGAAAATGGAGTTAAATTTTTACTCTATGGATAAGTTTTCGCGATATTTTCAATTTACCGTTATTTAACCTAAAACAGCAAATAGTTCCACTTAATCACGTATATCTTACGAACCAATCCAACAATCGTAATACGAAGTATGGCAAATGTAAGCCAACCAAATTCTTCATAAACCGTATACATACATATATACCACTTTTCGATAGGCCTAATAGTGTATGAGAAATTGATAAACCACTCAATTTTTTGTTTTTTTTTTATGAAAAAATTTAAACAAGTTCAAATTTTAAGAGGGGCCGGGGGGGGAGGGGGAAAGTAACGTTTTTTTTGGGAATTTTTTTATTTTGTATGAATTTTCGTTCCTTACCAAAAAATGAAGCTACCAATGAAGAAAATCGATGGATAAATAAGAAATAAATGAGTTGTAAAATGAAAATGCGCAAGGATTTTTTTAATGAAATTTTAACAGAAAAGAGAACTATACAGGTGTACATGGCGTATGAGTAACATTTTTTCGTGCGTTGCGTGTTTTCATTTGACCTCTAATTAATTCGTTATTTACTCATGGATTTTCTTCATTAGTAACTTGATTTGTTTGTAACAGAACAGGCTTTAGCACAACTGCAAAATTTTGACACAGAATCTGTTAGTTTGTTAATTTTTCTTCTGTTAAAGTTAGATACATTTTTTATTTTTTCATCAAAAAAACAAAAAATCTGGAATTATCAATTTTTTTGTCAGGAAATATCAGACCTATCGAAAAGTGATGTACATACGAATTATTGAGAATTTTGTTAGCTTTCATTTTCCGTAACTCATATTAAGATTGTTAAATAAGTTCGTAAGATTAAAGTGGTTAAGTGGAACCACTTTTTGTTTTAAACTGAATAACTAATATAATAATAAATTAAAAATATCTCAAAAACTAACATGATTTTCGGAATCAGCGGGCGATTCTACATGGGGATAGATAAGAAGATTCGTAGAACAATTAAAAAACACTACGCAGCAGTCTTTCTTCCCTCCGCGCCATCTTTTCCTATGATGGCCTCTTTGGTCGATGTCGTTCTGTATCAACTGATTCCAATTGTAAACGGCAAGTGAAGCTAACTTCCTCCTCCCCTGCTACCACCAAAGAGTACTACGTTGAATACTTTAAGGGCTGGAGCGTTTATGTCCATTCGTACTTTTGCTGCTCATAGAGATCGTTGCAGTCGGCAACGCGCACTTCAGTCTTAAAACTCTCGCAAAGTCAGGAAGATGGATTGAACTTCAGGACCCCGAAGAGCATATGGTATTCTAGTTCTGGTGTGGTATAATCGGCGTATGCATATCAGATATAGATCTACATATAGAAAGTAAATAGGACTCTAATTATAACATTGAAGGCATTCGAGAGGGAATGTTCTCATTGCCACTGTAGTCCCGACACAAGCGGCATTGGTCTCAACATTCGTGAAAACATTCAATAATAAATATAACAGTGAAATCTTAAACTCCTAGCAGTACTTTGCCATTTTACAGCAGCAAGTGTTAGAAAAAATCTACTAACTACAAATAAATACGTGCAACAAATATATATGTACATACTTATCAAAGAAAAAAGCCATTGTGATCACACAGCTTCTTAGCTGTCTCGAAAAACTTCGCGCATGAATCTTACTCATATTGCGCCTGCGTCTCGCACATAAATTTTTACAACTTCTAATGAAATTTTTCGCAACCTGTACGACAACACCAACAACAATAATTCGACAAGCCAACCAACCAACGCTTCCTTGTGCACGCAATCAACTTAACAACAACAACCAACCGGCCAATCCAATTAGCATCCACCAAATGCCCAACAAAACGCCGTCATTTGACACCTAAACGCCAAACTGTGAAATCTACGAGTATGTATGTAAAGCGTGTAGCAATTTTACATTCGCCTGGAAATGTGATACATATGTATGTATGTATGTATGTAGCTTAACGCACAAGCGAATTGTTATATACTTCTAATCGCAATCATACGTGCATATCTACATATTTGCATACATATTGTAAATATTTACCGTATTTGCATATCAACAAAATATGTATATCTGCATAAAAATATTATTTATTAACTACTCTTGAAAAAAAAAATATATTAACTACTCAGCTACGATATAAGTATTTACATATGTACATATATATATACATATCTTCAACCATACGGCCAATGAATTAAGTGTTCACAAAGTGCGTTTGTGCTGTTGCAGTTATTTGCAGTTGTGTATTTGTTGTTGTAGTGCTATGATGCGATTGCCAGACGCACGCACAAAAACGCTACCAAGAAATGTGGAAAAATCGTAACAAGTTTTTAATATTTTTGCTTTGGATCATGGAAATAAGGTGAGTGACATTGAAAGTGGACGTGTGAATATAAAGTGCATACACATCGTGTCAAAATTATAAGCGCACCACATATTGACAAGTGTTAACAATAATTTTTTTTTTTTGTAATTTAATTGTAATGTTCTGTTTGTTTATAAAAATATACATATGTAAATAGTTTATTCTCTAACAAAAACGGTATAAATCCACGTTTCATACTTTGTGTAATATTTTTGAAAGATTCAGCAAACTTTCATAAGAACTTAAAAAACCTTTAATTAGATTGCTTAGAAAGGTTTAATTTTAGTATAATAAAGTACCGCTAAATTTTGGCAATGTTTTTTTTTCTGTTGAAAGTGTTGCCTATTTTGTCCACAGAAAAAAAAATCTTCTTAGGATACTATGTGTGGAAAAAATGCTCTTAATTATACTGAACTTGTATGGTAACCGTTTTCTCAAAATCTTTCTAATAAATCTAATTAAAAAAGTTGACATTTTTACGAAAATTTGCGGATTTTTTTTTTAATATTGCACAAAGTTCAAAACTAGATTTATACGGTCTTTATTAAAGAATGAACTATATTTTGATAAAAACCAATTAAAATTAAATATCAAAAAAATAATTTTTGTTAACAGGTTTCAATATGAGTTGAGTTTATTATTTTGACGCGGGGTGTATTTTATAAGTATTGTGTTAGCAAAAACCTTTTTTTTTGTTTCCCCAACTACAAAATTTAATTTATTTTATGACTCCCACCATAATATTTTGTCAGAGTTGAAGTTAATTTGGGAGCTAGACAACGTTGAAACTTCCTTTTAAAGACAATATTCCAGTCAAAGTTTTTCTTTTCGGATACCAAATTTTACAAATATCTTTCATATTGGTCAGAATTCGTACTTTAATGCAACAAAAACGGGCTTTATTTTCAAGGAATTAAAAAAAAAAAATGTAAGTGATTCGTAATGTGTCGTGGGTTAGGTTTGGTTAACTTGGCTGCCCTCATCCGGCACAGGAAAAGGGCACATTTAGACCACCATTGGTCCATTGTGATCCCATATTAAAGACTTCCAACTTGTAGCAGTTGAGCCTAACATTCAAAAGAATAGTGAATGAACGGGCAGCGGCGAGCCCTCGCTTATGCAAGGCATTGGCATAAGCATTGCTCTATCCTCTCGATTTCCGCCACATTACGGCAACTGCGAGTAGTCGTTTAACTGCATAATCATTCTCATATCATGGATTCCCATGCCCGGTGAGAACCTGATTACATGTCAGAGCAGTGGTCGCTCCAGGCGAAGGCCAGGCCTTGATTTGCGCTTATCCAACTTAGGCCGAGGCCACGCAATGAGCGCCTGAGTGGCGAGCGGCTGAGCGGCTTAAAATTAAAACATATGAAATACTATTGAAGTGGCTCGGTCTTAGGACAGATATGCCTTGCTATCCTCCTTGTGGGTGTGACCATCTTGGTTTGCCCGTTTTAGCCACGATTTTCAAGAATATAGTGGAATGCCCATACTGCGAGCTGCTTCGCAGTGAATAAGGTACCTTTCTTTGTGAGTTCATTTGCGACACAGTTGCCCGGTATGTCTTTATGGCCTGGCACCCATACAACATGAGTGACGTATCTCCTTGCATCTGGTTAAGATTGTGCCCTACATTCCATGACAATATTTGATGTCGTTTTATTTATTTATTTCAAATAAGTTTATACAAATTAATAGAAGAATCGATCTGCCATCTTGCAGATTCATTGATTGCTGTAAATTCAGCTGGAAAAACACTGCAGAGATCTGGTAGACGAAAACTGAGGTCAAGTGAGCGTTCTTGTGAGTGTACGCCACCTCCTACCTTCAGTTCTTACACAGGTACGAAGGTAAATTCTTCTTGGCCTGGTCTTTCAACGTGGTGCCTTCTATCGTTCACATGAAGGCTGCAAAATCAATCAGCGTTCCCCCGCATAAACTTCGGAGAGACGGCCTGTACTAGCTTACGAATGACCCTGAACCGACGTATGATTTTATTACTTAAATAGCCCAAAAACTATGATCCACTTCAAGAAAAGGAATATATATCTAGATTTGGAACGCAAGGTAGTCTAATATCTTTAGATAGGGAGGATTTTTTTTTTGTGAAGAGAGACTCCCACATGCAGCCGCATCTACTGGTAACTTCACTGAGCTCTTAAAACGAATAAGTTGCAATCGCCCTACTAAACATCTCTCTACTTCTATCGGGACCCAAAACTTTACTATGTTTCGTTATCGCGGATCGCACATGGTTTACTCACGTTGCCCAGAGTTTTCGAACGGAACGCAAGTATCGTACAACTGTATTGCCATACCCAGAAAACAAACATAACCCATTTTGGTGAGGTACTGTGCCTACCTTGGATCCAGCATTAACATCCTCCTAGGCCGGCATTTGAATAGTAGAGCTTTTCTTCTACAAAAAAATCATTCTCTACAAATCTCAGTATTTTTTAATTGTGCTGAAACGTAGACGATATCAATCAATGATCAGATGGCTTAAGGGGATTTTGTGCGAACTGTTTTACGCAACTACTATGGCCTGTTCGTCGAATGACGCGTGCAAAATGGGATACGTTACACTTAATAATATATTTTCAATGATATATACAGTGGCAAAAATATGAATTGGGTCGCGAAATTTAAACAAGTTTCGGCTATTTTGTTTGTTTATTTGTTAAATGTTTGTTAATCATATTACAGCTGTTTATCTCACAAAAACCATTTAGGTAAGAATTTCAAACTTCGTGCAAAAATTTGTAAAAATTCGACAAAAATTTTCATCAAAAGTTCGAGCTTTTTAATTCAATTTCTTAGACTTCTTTTGAGTGTGCAGTTGCCCGTAAAGCACAGGTTTGAAGTAGCCAGCACTTACCGTGGTTTTTTTTATTTTTATTTTTTATTTTTTTTTTTGAAGTTCTAGCTAACTTTCTTCATATGAAAAAATTGTGCAACATAGGAGTACCTTGTATGGACAAAAATGCGTAGCAACGCCAAAAAAATAAAATAATTGCAAAAAATCAACGGTGTTTTGTAGCCTTTTCAAGCTTACAGTTTACTAAAATCGAAAGGACTTTAAGCTAAATAACAGATTTTTTCTAAAAATTCTGATTAAAAAGATTGATGCAATTTTGTTGAAATTTATCGAGATTTCCTAATTTTTCTACAAACTTAGAAATTTGTACTTAGATGGTTTTTGTTAGATAACGAGCTTTAGTTTCTTTAAAAGTAAACATTATACAAACAAAAGAAAAATAGCCAAAACTTTTTAAAATGTCGCGTCCTTATTTATTTTTTCGCCACCGTATATAACTCTATAAAAGGGCAAAAATTTTGATTTAGTACTTCGGTTACTCGCTGCATTGTTGTCAGTCGAGCTGTCGTAGATTTTTGTAAATGTATTATATTCTAGGAATATAAGTATTTGGTTTAGTTTCTTCATCACAATCATTTAAAATCTACTTATTGTCATGGATCTGCATCAAAAGTCTGCTTACGAAGTTTTGGTCTGCTGCTAAAAGTCATAAAATTCAGTAATCCAATCCTCACTTTATCAAGCGTTAATCCAAAAGTCAAAATTCGCCTTAAAATTGTATAGACATTTTATGCAATTTGGTCGGACAAAGGCGAGGGTGCTTGTTTTACGCATAAGGGCTAAAAATATTAGATATGTATGTATGTGTATGTGTATATCAGCCAATGTGGGTGTCAATCTATGTGAGTGACAGATTCACACTAATAACGAAATTATGCCCGGATGTTGTTGGATAGCTGTTACTTGCTGACACGCCACGCACGAACTCATACAGCAGCCACTTTTTAATAAGTCTACTTATAAATTCATAATTTTAATTGAAAAGTTATAACAAGCATGCAAAATTTGCATACAAAATTACAGGGCGACGCACGCATGTCGTCAAAATCTATTAACTTTGATTTATTACCTTTTTAGCAAATCATCAGCTCATAAGCAAATTTTAAATCGCCATAATATTTTTTAGCAAAATATTAAAAAAAAAAACAAAAGAATAATAAAATAGCACTACAACAAATAAAAAGTGCATTCGAAACGCCTAAACTCCGCGAAAATATTCGAAGCCTTTTACTCAAAAAATTTGCGATTGCTGCCTGTCGCTCTATCAACGACGGCGACAACTACGACGACAACGACGCATTCACGTCCACCCCCACTGTCGCGCAAATTTACATCATTTACTCGCTAAAAAACACATAAACATAGAAACATTGACAATACAAGACCAGCCTCGATCTTGGCTCCAAAGTTTTGAGCGGATAAAAGTGCGGCAAAGAAAAGCAAAACAAAAACAAAAAAAACGTAAAACCTCATTAAAATATCCAATTAAGCTGGCCAACAAGCAATAATTTAGGTAAATTTCTATTTCCAACGAAAAATCAATTTTCCACCATTACCACATCAAAAAGCTGCCATTCATTCATCGCAACAAGCAACCAGCAAAACCATGCCAACAACGAACAAGGCAGCCAACGATTGTGTTAGCCAAGCCGAGCTTAGCAGACAACAACAGCAAAGGTAAACAACAAAGCGGGGCAAGGGCTCACTCAAATTTATCTATGTATGTACTATTGATGCCACTGCTAGCTTTGGATAGTTGGACGGACAGATGCTCGAATGGACTTCTAGTCATCCATCTTATTGTTTGCGTGCTTGTTTGCTAGTCGCGTCAGTTTGTACGCCTGTCAGTTTGTCCGTTTGTCGATTTGCCGATTTGGCTATTCATCTGTTCATCTAAAGCTACGCGAGCTAACCGTGCTCCTTTCCAACTCTTTGCTTACACAATTTTGTTTGTGTATTTACCTTCACTCCTACCTATTCCTTTATCTAATTGCCCGTCAAAGCGATTCAATACAATAATTGAAATTAAAGTGCTCCACATCTTCATGCCGATTCAAGCATAAGCCAATATGTCCACTAGATTGATGGGTGTGGAGCTGTTTTAGTAGGGTAGGAG